CTGCCCTTCGTCCCGAGGCCGCAGTGCTTCAAGGGCTCGCGCTGCGACGGCTTCCGCGACGGGCGCCACCCCACGAGGGGACTTCATCACAAAAACTTTCACAGCTGGTGAAGGCTGGGCACCACGTCATACTAACACAACATGCAGGAAGACAAACTTTCATTCTCATGCACAAAGGCTGTGCTTTGAATCACAAAGATTTTGCATTGAATCATGATTGCGAGCCGACTGACGCACGGTTGACAGCCATGACAAACCTCAAAACCCATGTCGAAGCACCAAAACCAAAAACTGCAATATGTGGAAGCAACACTACCAGAATAAAAAGCGGCAAATGACGGGCATGTCCTGCGTTCCTCATTGGACAAACGTCAGAAAACATCCAATGATCGCATCACTAGCAACTTGCCTGAAGGCGTCACTTCCAAGCTGAGCACGGCAGCTGCGGCTGGCGCTTTTGGGGTCTAGGACTGCCCACGAACCTTGCTGATCTAGACCGACTCAAACCTCAAGAGCTGATTCGACATGAACTCACACCGGGCTCTGTTAACAAAGCACAGCTGCTACACTGGGACGAACTGCATGTTCCGACCAGTATCAACTCTTGACGATATGCCGCCCTTGCCATTTTGCCAGCTGCTTCACGTGACAGATTGCAAGCGATCCAATTCGGATCACGAGAACTGCTGCTATGCTTGCAGCTCACTTTGCGTGTATGAGAACAGACGCGGGCACTGCGACCTTGGAGTTACCAGTATCGGGTCCCTCATAGCGCATCTTAAGATTCTCGCCACCACCCACCTCGCACATCTCCACCACCAGCTGGTGGCTACCGGTCGCAAGGTTCTTGTGAATGCTCGACCTCTCCTGTTCACCATGGCAGCCATTGTTGTCGACAATCCTCTCGCCATTCAAGAACAAGAGAGAGCCGTCGTCCGAGGCGGTGTAGAACTTGTAGTTGCCGGCCTGATTGATGCTCACATAGCCGCTGCACCTGATGCAGAAGTGATCGGTCTGCCTGACGTGAGGGAAGCTGCCGTGGTGCATGTCGATGTTCGGCAGAACCTCGGTATGAGCCGGGGTCAAAGCTCCGAGGTTCGGAACATGGCACTGAGCTTGGTTGTAGTAGTACTCGCACTCCAACCCGGGTTCAAAGAACTTGAGCTCATGTTTGAGAACCGACGCGGGCACTGCGATTTTGTGGCTGCTAGTGTCAGGTCCCTCATAGCGCATCTTGAAATTCTCGCCACCACCCACCTCGCACATCTCCACCGTCAGCTGGTGGCTGCCCTCCGCCATTGTCATGTGATGGCTCGACCTCTCCTGTTCACCGTGGCAGCCATTGTTGTCGACAATCCTCTCGCCGTTCAAGTACAAGAAAGAGCCGTCGTCCGAAGCGGTGTGGAACCGGTAGCTGCCCGGCGTCCTGATTGTGAGAAAACCACTGCACCTGATGCAGAAGTGATCGGTCTGCCTGACGTGAGGGAAGCTGCCGTGGTGCATGTCGATGTTCGGCAGAACCTCGGTATGAGCCGGGGTCAAAGCTCCGAGGTTCGGAACATGGCACTGAGCTTGGTTGTAGAAGTACTCGCACTCCAACCCGGATTCAAAGAACTTGGGCTCATGTTTGAGAACCGACGCGGGCACTGCGATTTTGTGGCTGCCAGTGTCAGGTCCCTGATAGCGCATCTTGAAATTCTCGCCACCACCCACCTCGCACATCTCCACCACCAGCTGGTGGCTACCGGTCGCAAGGTTCTTGTGAATGCTCGACCTCTCCTGTTCACCATGGCAGCCATTGTTGTCGACAATCCTCTCGCCGTTCAAGTACAAGAGAGAACCGTCGTCCGAAGCGGTGTAGAACCTGTAGTTGCCGGCGTGATTGATGCTCACATAGCCGCTGCACCTGATGCAGAAGTTATCGGTCTGCCGAAGGTGAGGGAAGCTGCCGGTGGTGCATGTAGACGTTGGGAAGAACGTGGGAGTGAGCCGGGGTCAAACCACTCCCGAGCTCCGGAACAGCGCACTGAGCATGGTTGTAGAAGTACTCGCACTCCAAACCCTCTGTCAAAGGTGGCTGTATCACTTGGGCACCGGCATCTGGCACGACACGGCAGTCCGAAATCGGACGACCGAAGGTGGTCCAGTCTGTACGGGGGCCATAGTGTCGCCTTGCATCGGCCGTAAAGATCTCTGCGGTTTTGCCGTTCACAGTGATGGAGAAGTGGTGGCCGTCCACATCTCCAATCTGGGATGTGTTTCAGTTTACGAAGCAAAAAAGAAGTTGTTTACTTCCATCACGACAACGGCCCAAGAAGCGTAGTCCCAATGGTGTAGATCGAGCGGCTCGCCACTTGCCAATCTGCACGAAGCCATGTCCGAAGGCGATTCCTGATGGTGCGCCAGTAGCTCGTCCAAACAAACTCCAGCCATGATGGGGTCCGTTGTGCACCGTGCCGTCATCGCCTGAAATCAAGAGAGGTGAGACATGGCATGCAATACCAACATACCTTTCAATCTTGTGCGTCATGTGCCCCATCGGAACTAGCGCTGCAACTGCAAAGCAAGCGACGCCAAATGATCGGAGCTTTGTTGTTGCGGTGGGAGAGGACGAAATGTCTCCCATTCTGCTCCCATTCACCCAATCGCCACCAATGGCCAAACTGGATAAAGCGATCTCCGAACTTGATGGTGCTTATGCCGGCTTCACGGTCCCAGGTGTGCCAGTCCCTTCGTGGGCCAGAGTGGGTGCGACCGTCGGAAGTGAGGATCAGGGGAGTGTGGATGCTGCGGTGCGAGAAGGAGAAGTGGTGCGAATCTATTCCCGCGACTCGCCAGTCGCTAAGTTGTAGGAAGCCGTCACCTGCTTTGGCGCTGGGCTTCTGTAAGGGTTCCAAAAAGGCGTCCTTCAAGGGTTCCCTCGCTCTCTCTCTCTCTCTCTCTCTCTCTCTAAAATCAAGAGTTCTTCCAAGGTGAGTTTTAGGGGTGGGAATCCCTTTGCAAGTCCAGCCACCTGCGGTTATTCCGGGGCATGTTCCCAGAATTTCTTGGATGCCACCACAATGCCACATCGCATATCGATCGTTGACCTAGGAAACAGGATCTAGGCAGTTGTGACTTTGGGCGCAGGGGTCTAGAGACTACTTCAACTTCTACCCCGAAACAAGAAGATAGTGAAGAAAAAAGCGAACGCTTTCCACGACGATCCAAATGACCCTATAGGCGTAGTGATGCTGTGTCCCAGAAACCAGCTCGGTGACCCGATGGACGGGGTCCCATTTGAAAATTTGAGGGCTTTTGTTGTAGCGTCTGTTCGTCACGTATACGTGATTGTCATCTGCCTGGGCTGTGACCGCGGTGGACTCGTCCAACAAAGACGAAGCAGAAATAGCAAGAGAAAGAGCAAGAGCGACAGAGAGAGAGAGAG